CCCCCCCCCAAAAAAAATCCCCCAAACCTTTGAACTTCTGACAGACCCATGCTGACGTAGGTACACTAACTACTCACTTTGGTCCTGTTGATCCAAAGGACAGTTCTTGAAGGCAGGTTCTTGATCCTGCCAACAGGGTGAAGATCTGCTACAGAACAGGTAAGGACAGCACTATTAGATTCCTCATTCACTCCTGAAACCATTCCTGTTAAACAGAACATTCAATATCCCTGCTTAGTGAATCTTTCCTGTCCCACATGCTGCTGTGAACAGCACTTTCGGGAGCGGAAGCTGTGGCAACGTAGACTTGCCTTTCTCAGAAGTATTAATGTATTTTGTGTCAACAGCTACGTGACTGATCTGGGATGTTGCCCCTGCAAAGCTGGATGCAGAACAATATCCTTCTATCCTTTGCTTGCACACAAACCAAGTGCAAAATTAAGTACATAAATCCACCCTGGGAAAGTGGTCAGTGAAAGGAAGGAGGGAGGCCCTAGTAGGTTGCTGATACTTTCTGTTCTAGTTAGGAGGACTGGCATTTGTGTATTCCCCGCCCTGATGAAAGGATAAAAAAACCCCAAAAGTATCACTGATGTCATTTAAAAAACCCTAAAAACATAACTATTTGGTTCCACAAGTACTAATTAAAAATACAGAAAAGTACTAAAAATTGAGTAAATAAACACTTTACCTTTAAAAAGGAAAGGGAAAAAAGCAAAACTGTTAATGTAGAACACACTGAAAATGTTTGCATGTGGCTCTGTATTCTTCTTTAATGCTTTGGTCATGCCTCAGACCAGTTTCATATCAGAACAGCTCAAACAAAACGTCATAGGTATTAGAATGGCCCTTCTCTTTATGGTATCAGCCATTCCCAAGTATCAAATATTTCATTTTAAACTTGAGGCTTGATAATTGTGAGAATTAGCTTTGACTTATTTCCAGACATCTAGCAAGGAAGGAATTTCTTGGCTCAGAGGTTCTGGCTTAACTTCACTGGTGTTTCATATGGCTAGAGCAATGTAAAAGACTTGAAAGACTTGAAATTTAGCTGAGGGAGAATATATACCAACCTTTGCTGTAAGAGAGAACACTATCAAGCCTTGTTTCCAGATATTTGCCTGCCCCCCTTGATAGCTCACACTTGTGAAACTGCAGTAAATATGTGCACCAAAAAATATCTGACATACAAAGCAGTGCACTGCCATATCTCTTGTTAGAATCTGTGGGACAAAAAGTGGACCAGTTAGAGTGAGCAAAGACAACGATAATTATCCACAAATTACTTGGATCTTATTTCCCGCTCAAAGAACTATCTCTGTGGGATATAATCAGTAAAATAGACCCATGTTTAATCAGGCTGCAAGCTGTGAAAAGTTGTGATCTTTATTCAAACAGGCATCTTCACTTTCTTAGATACTCAATGTGTTTGTAACTAGTAGCATCTAACAGAAACACATTCTTAAAATTCCTCTGAAAATCAATGTGGATCACTCAGGATTAAGTTAGGGAAAGTGTCCCCTCCTGAAGCTTTAGAAACTCAGAGTTTTAGAAACTGTAGTTGTTCTAACTTTATTGGATGGTCACTTGCACTGACAAGTACACAGGGCCTGTGACACTTTCAGAACCAATGGTCCTGCTAACTGGTGCTGACAGCAATAAATCTTTATTATGTGCTGAAAGGAGGCACAGATAGATAAAGATGTACTACAGCCATACTTTTAAGATGGAATGAAGAGGTTAGCACAGATAATTGTGATTCTAATACTCATATATATATATATATATACATATATATATATATATCATTTTTTTTTAGTGCTTGAATTGTGCTTGTGATTTCTAAGCTTAATACTGTTCTTTGGTTAGTTTATGTCTCTTGTTCTTAGGTACAGCATACAGAGGGACACAAAAACCATTAAACCTGAAATTGGGCTGAGAGGATTTTTCCACCTCATCTGTGGGGAAGAAGCAACATCACTGACAAGTCATCTGTTTGGAAAACAGTGATTATTTGCTTCTATTTAACTTTTCTATCTTTATTTCTTTCTTTAGGTTTGCAACAATGGTAGAGGAAGATGTAAATCACTGTGAAGATTCTGAACCATCAGTATGTGGGAGAAATGGCATGATTCCTATGCATGAGCAAAGTGAGGTAATTAACTATGATCTCAAAGTATTGTTCTAGTCAGAGAGAACCCTCCTTCTCCTTTTTTCCTCTTTTAAGAATAAAATTCTTAATGTAAAAGGCACTTAAAAGTAAGCATACAGCATTGAGTGTATCTCATATAGATGTTTATATGGCACATCTTTATGTACATGGTGATCATGGGTAAGCAAGTAACTCCATGCTGAAAGCTCATGAGATTTGTGTTCCAGTCATGACTCTGAGTAAGGAATATATATATATATGTAGAGAGAGAGGGAAGAGACAGAAAAATAATCAGAAATGTGGAACTATTGCTGGAGAAGGGCCAAACCACATTATAAGCAGAATTCCATGTCTACAGTATGACAATAAGCTGACATGAATAATCATACAGGAAGGCAGATGATTAACTTGTCAAAAATAATGCTAAAATTAAGTGAGACATATCCAAAAATGGTCAAAAAGTGCTTTGGTTATGAATATGGATAAGTTGGTGTACCAGTATAAGAGACCAGCTTCAAGGAATGTCAAGGGAGTAACTCCCAGGGTAGTATTTCTCCATCTCTACTTTGACTTACCAGCTTGAGCCTTCCAGCAATGGATCATGTGAGTAAAGCTTGTGCTGGCCATCTGTGCTGTTTCTTTCATCCTTGTTCAGTTATTTTGGTTCAAGGCTTTGCAACAGAAGTTATTTAGGAGTTAAATTAAAAGCACGATCTCACTGGAATTATGCTAATCATTGACTGTATTGTAAAATCCAGCCTAGAAGCAGAACCTTATCAAATTGTAGAAAATATTCATAAATGTTTAGTTTTGTACACAAGACAAGCTGAGCCTGGCTTGCTATTATTGTTTCTTCATCAAATATGCAAATATTGTTACTGCACAGGTGTTATATCTATTGGGACAGGAGCCCTCTCAGTTGCAGATAAAAAGGCAAATGTCCTGTAATATCTCACATGCAGTTTTTTGTGCCATGCAAGAAACAAACACAGGGCCAAAAATATGTCAAAGCTGGACACTCTTGTAGTGGTTGTTTATATAACGTAATTGTCTGCAGCCAGTGTGGATCCAGTGACTCAGCTGACTTCAGGTGTTGCACACTACTTCAAGTAGATACAGCGCCACTTCTGAGGGAGTCCCCTTGTTTGCATTCAGCAGGGACCAACAGCAGATGCCAAAGGTACTGATGGGAATGTACAAACAGAAGAAACTGCTCTCTTGAACCATTGCACTCAGCAACCTCCAGAACCAACAGCAGGGTCTTCAATACCTGCAAGAACATGGAGGCAAATATTTGCTTGTCCTCCTCAGGGTTTAATGGCCCGAGCAGTGACAAATGGTAAGTAAGACAGAGTTTAATTAAAATGAGAAATGGCAACTGAAGTACTTGTTTGTCTGAATGGGATGATATCTGTCCACTATCCTTGAAAATAATGAATGGAAATAGCTTTGTTTTACTTATCACACCGTTGTTTGAATGTTTTAGCCAGAGTTAAAAAAAGAAGAAACAAAGGTTTGAATTTGTTTTTGTTTCTCCAGTCTCATGTGTTTACTATGATAGGTGTGTTTTTGCACTGCAAACTATTTTTATCAGAAGAAAGACTTCCTAATTTTTGTCTTGATAGTTTGTCCTTAATACCAGAGGCTTGCAAAGCCAAGAGTCCTCACTGCAAGGCAAACTGATGTATTTTGTTTAGAATTTGTCCTAAACTGAAAACTCCCAAAAGAGATGCCTGGATAGCCAATTATTTAAGATTTTTCCTAACAAAAGACATTCCATGTGTCTTTGACTGCTTCCACAGCAACTTGGAATTCTTAGGCTTTTATGTTTGGAAATCTACTGGTCTTCCTTTGCCACCTGACACCCTCAAGTAAGATTAAGAAAAATTCCAATCTGAAAATGCAGGACATTTATTCAACACATTTTTTTCATTGCCTTTGGTCTTCTGTTTTATATGTATGCATGCCTGCTCTTGTTGGACAACTGTCAGAACAGATTTGTGAACCTTGGAACAGCTTATTGTTTTCACATATTTTATATTTTCACGCACTGTTCTCATAATATTTTTCAGGATTTTTTTTCTCCTCTGTATTATCCTGCTTTGATTGCTGTATCAAGGGAAGTATTTGTACTCCAGATGTCCAGAGACATGACTCTCCTCAGAATTTTTTTCCCAGGGATAACAATGTATTGCACAAACGCATTCAGCCAAAAAATTATGCTTAAATTCTTTTAAAAATTAGACTGGAGCTGCAGTCATCAGCTTGAAGATATGCCAGGCTGTTCAGCAGTAAATTTTACTCTGATTCTGAAGTAGCTGAAGCAAATGCAAGATAAATTAGTGAAAGTCTTTGCTTTAAGTTTGGAACTGTGAAGTGCTTTTCACAGCAGACCAAGGCTCAGTAAATTTATTTTGATATTTAATGATATTCCTGTTACCAATTTTAAAGTATTTTATCATCTATAAAATCAGAACATCAGTTTAGGGACCATCAAAGATTAACTGCATTGTTATGATTAAACTAATTTTTAAGGTAAGTAATTTAATTTCTAAAAGTCATGGTAAACTTTTTTCTTTAATAGCAAAACAAAGGTGATCTAACAGCAAAGTTGTTTCTGAGAGATGATTAAATATTAATTATTTTTTGTTTCATTCCAGTTGCATTTGTGGTCCTGGTTTGGGCTGTGGTTTGGTCCATAACTGGGGCTGAGTGTCTCCCAGGTGGAAATCTCTTTGGAATTCTGTTTCTTTATTTCTTTGCTGTCATCGGAGGTAAAATTTTTGGATTCATTAAAATACGAACACTACCCCCTCTCCCTGCTCTTCTGGGTAAGATATCCTTCCTTCTTTTCTTCCTGCATATTTTGGTGTTTAAACCATCAAGTAGTATCTGGATGGTAGACATGTTTGGATTGGGAAAAAATAAACTGTGTCACATTCAACATTTGTAGCTTTTCCAAATTACTTTTTCTGGTCCTCTCTGAAAAGGTGCAAAATTCCCAAGACTGGCTCAGGTGAAGTTTACTAAGGCTCTCGTCTTAATTCTTTGTGGGTCAGAGAACTGTCTGCCTACAGACTCAAAGTTTATTGTCCTTCAGACCTTTCTGTCACAGTTACTTAAAATTTGGCTTTAATAATACCAAACAGGAATCTTAATCCAGACATCATTTTACAGTAGAATACTAATCTCTTTGTAAAATTATTGCTGAGCTATTTCTCCAAAGAAAACATTACAACTCCCTACTACTGGTAGTCCAAAGGATTTCTTTCTTCTCCTTCCTTTATCTCAAGATAATTGAAACCTGAGAAAATAAATTCACAACAAGGAATAATTCTTCTGCAGAGAGTTATTCTGATTCAATCATAACATTTTTTTTCACATCAACATCCTATTTTATTTTACATAGAGATGCAAAATAGAAATGGGAGATGAAAATAATGTTAATTCTGACATCTTTAAAATCTTTCCAGGTTTCTTTCCTAGAGGAGGTTTTATGCTTATTTAGATGAGTACAGTATTTTGAAGGGCTGTGATATTGGTGGAGCTGGAAATGAAGCTCCAGGTTCTTCTCACCAGCTGTATCTTGTCCCCTTGCTATGTTTAGTGCAAAAATGGGTAAAGCTGTTGACGGATAGTAAAACTCCCCAGCAGAGTGGGCCTGCAGTGCCCAGCTGTGATCCTGTAGCCTGCACAGCTGCTGTTGTGCCTCACACAGGAGCTCCACACACGGCTCTGTTGAGCTGCTTGATTTCACCAGAGAAAAGAAATTCAAATGAGAGGGAGGGAGGTTTTGCATATGTCATGCATGCCTGCAATATGAACACGGAATGCCACATGCAGGGAGTCTGCCCTTTGTAAGTAAACACCCCTCTTAAACAAATAAAAATATTTTTGACCATTTGGATTCTGCTTGTCTGGGAGTTTTTTAATTACATCTATGTCTAAAAGTTATGAGTTGAGCATGAAATTGCTTGTCAGACAAGTAATACTGGACAACAGAAACTTCAGCATGACAGCACATGTCTCTTGAGTTGTTTAGGACAGAATTCATTGTTCTGATCCCCAGTCTTTGAGGAAAATTGGAGAAATCTATGATTCAGAAAACAAGATAGACAATGTCTGTGAATGTTCTGCTTTTATGTTAAAAATACAAACCTTTTGCTCTTACATGCCTATAACCCACTTTTGCTAGGTCCAGTAGAGTGTAAGGTGGCCGGCTGAGCACTTAAGCACCTTACTGTGAGCCTCTCTTGCAGGAAAAAAAAGAGCGAAATTGGTACTGAAACAACCACATAATATATTTTAGGTGCACATTGCAGAGAGGTTTCTGCAGCAGGAAACATGGTGCAGTGAAGACATCCTTTGAGCTGGACATTTTTACTTTGTTAAGTAGATTTCTAGATCAGGGTAGCTCCAGTGACTTGGACCACATGCAAACATTGCAAAGAGCATGTGATCACAGTGCCAGCCTGATATAATTGTCATGAGGTACCATAGATTTATTATGGCACCGTTTTTTTTCCGAGAGGTGGTGGAAAGAATGATTTCTAAAAGTTTAGTGTCCTGGGGCAAATCAAGTTCACAGTCAAGGCTCACACCGAGCTGGGACCAACCTGAGCAGAGTGATTTGTTTGCTTTTTGCCTTTTATTTCTTTTACTGTTTCTAAACATGACTAATATAAAATTATACCACAAAAATGTATCTTTGAGTCATCAGGACTCACAATGAATCCTCTGTAGATCCATATTTAAAGTGAACTTTTTCTGTACTTTTCCATATCCTTCCAGAGCTATGGCTTTGATAGCTTTGCAGGAAGTCTCTGATTGGACAGTTTTATTAATATTTGTAAAACATTGTATCTTGCAAGTATCTCAAACAGAGGATAAGACTAAGTTTCTGATTTCCCTTCCCTTTTTAGTCCACTCTTTGTGTAAGTCTCATTGCCAGAGCACTTGAAAATGTTTAAATTAGTCCATGATGAGCTGGTTTAGACTATATTTCCTAATGAATGCAGTGTTATGGTTCCTGTGACACCTGCATTTCTTACACCTAAGAGGATTTTTAACGAATCTCAACTTCTGAGATAAATACACAATATTAGATGATCTTCCTGTTTTTGTATTAAAACAAGCTAACAAGGAAAAAATCTTTAAGGAAGCAGAGGTGTCTTTGACTGTGGTATGACCTGCACCTGATAAACAAAACCAAATTATTTTGACTCAGACTAAAGCTGTGTATCAGCATCCTGCTGATTTATTCATTGGTGACCTGCTGTGCTCTTAGGTCACTTTCACTGCTTCGAATGCATTTATTTCTTCTCATGCCTCAGTCCCATTGTTAAAACATGGCTCAGAATTCAGAATACAAATTGTTTCTTTTTCTCTCATGAAAACATGATATAGTGTCTATTTTTAAGAGTGCTATGCAAGCTATGCAAGTTTTTCTTGTGCAATAAATAAAATAATTTTACAGGAGCTTATTTGTTTTGACTTAAGGGATGCTACTTGCTGGTTTCCTAATCCGAAATACCCCATTCATCAGTGACTTTGTCCAGATAAAGCTACGCTGGTCTGCAGCACTGAGGAATATTGCTCTTTCCATTATCTTGACCCGAGCAGGACTTGGCCTGGATCCAAAGGTATGGCACCAGCCATTTGTGTGTGACAGTCTATACAGCAGCAACCAAAAAAATTTGAATAATTGGTTCCATTAAAAATACTGAACTGCTTTGTCTTGGAGCATCTGCAAATTAGATCATTATAGAAATTACATAGTTTCTGCTGTATAATTATATGTATGTTAATATTGGCAGTTGGATTTGTACAGTAGGCAAGCAATCAAAAAAAAACTGAAGAAAACTGATTTTATGATTATTTTCATTTCCTGAGTTTTGTGAGTGGAACAAATTGAGGATGTGTGCACTGTCATGGTCTGTCAGGAAGAGTCTGCACTCCCTGACAAACTCCCTATTAGTTTATACTGAAAATTTGAAGTAATGGAAGGGATCCCCAGTCCTTGAAAGAGAATGTTTTTCTATGGGCAGAAATCCAAAAAACCTAACCAACCAAAAAACTCTAAACCCTGTGTGACTGTTTTACTTTTTTTTTTTTAATCATTGCCATTTTAATGCAAATATGTTAATTGCAAAGATGAACCCTGCTGCACTATTGAAACAATGATTCTCATCACAATGATGCCCATAACAGTCCTGTGAACAAAAAATAGTCTCTGCACCCTAAGAAACATGATATTTCATAAATTATTGAAGGCAAGGTTTTGCTTATTCAAAATGAGCTGGCTGAAGTAAAGCTGTTCCATATTGACCCCTACTTGTTGAAGGAATCACACAGAGTTTTATATAAACTTAAGTAAAGTATGGGAAATTTAGAACATCCAAACAAATTTTTCTTAAACAAGAAAAACTAGAGAATTGCCAGTGCTACAGTTATTTAGGAAAAGAAAGGTTTTGCCAATATTAAAGAATGTCTTTTCCTTTGTTATAATAATCTTATTTTCCAAGACATTGAGGTCTGTATGAGCATGTGTGTTATTAGACACAGCTTGGATGTCCAGTTCTGTGAGACTGCATTTCTTTCTATTTCATGACAACTTTTTTTTTGCTGAGGGAACTTCCTTTTTGACTCATTTTTCTTCTGTGGCCACAAAACTGCCATTTGGACTCTGTGTGTGGCAGTGCTTTGATGCAGTTAAAATTGTTCGTCATGTAATTGAAACAGAAGAAGAAGACAAAGTCAGTTTCTCAGCGCTGATTATCTGGGATAAACTGGACTGGAATGGAAAAAGTGGAATTCACTGATGATTTTTTGGTTTGTTTTGGTTTGGTTTTTTTAAATTCCATGTCAAAATTAGGAACCTGTCCTAGCAGACTCATGTTTGTGACTAACTATTAAAGACAGCCATTACAAGCAAATATGCCAGTTTAGAAATTTTCTTTAAAGTTGCTGAGCTAAAAGGAGTTTAATCTCTGAAGATCAAATGAGAGACAGCTGAAAGATGCTTGACTCCTTGTGCCAAGTCGATGTAGTTCTACAACTTTTCATGATTTGTTCATAGATTTTGGGACAATTTTTGGTGGTGCTCATGCAGCTTCTGGGATTATACCAAAATCTTTTGTGGATGGAGCAAATTACAAGAAGCCAAACAGAATTTTCTGCTACTCTTTCCTGTAAAATTAATGAACCTTGTCAAACCTAGATTTAGGGTTTATATCCAAATCCGGTTGGGCTTGGGCCTGTCTCTAGTTTCGGCCATGTCATGTCCTGTAGTGCACCTCAGACGGGATTCATTAACAAGCCATATCAGATTGTAAATGCTTTTCCTTTCTGTAAAGCCAAGGGTACTGACACTATTGTGCCTGTATGATTGCAGGCTCTTAAGAAGCTCAAAGCTGTCTGTTTACGGCTCGCTTTCGGACCGTGCCTCTCAGAAACAGGCACAGCTGCTGTCCTTGCCTACTTGCTCCTGCCTTTGCCATGGCAATGGGGATTTATATTAGGGTAATGTACTTTCCTGTTCTCCTGTATGATAAAAGTGCCGCTTTTCAGGCCGCAGCTAAATGATCCAAGTGTTGTTAGCTCTCTGTGCCAAGCAGAGACCTCAGTTCAATGCCATTTGGGAAGCTGTGCTTAGCCCCTGTGGTCTTTTGCTTACCATTTATGTCTGTCTCTGTGGCTAATTTAAAGGTCATATTTTCAGGCTACAGACTACTTGCATCATTACTTTTCTGTGTCTGTGACCTGAGTACTTGAAGAAGGAAGGATAGTGCAATTCCTGAGTCTTGAACCACAACAGATGGGGATTTTTAGGGACAGAAAATCATACCACAGTTTGGAAAATTTTCATACTGGAATTCAGAACTTCTGCACATAGGACAGCCTTCCTGTCACAAGTCAAGGATAAGGATATGGCATGGTATAGTCTAGGGTAACATCCTTGAAGAGAAGACCTTTTTCATCTAGTCCTATCTAAATTGGTAGACTTGGGCCAGACACATATACTAGAACAAGCTGGATGAACTCCTTCTGTGGCACACACTGAATTTTATGAGAATAAACTGGGATTCTGAGTCATAAGCACATCTAGACCAGGTTTCCAAATGAGACTGTCAGGGCATCTATCAGGGAGTGTAACTGGCCTGCAGTGGAGACTCCAGTTTTAGTCTGTGGAGCCCTTTACTTTCAATGTTACTGAGTTGTGCAGAGAGTAAGAGCTGATTGCAGACCTGCATAGAAATATCCCCGCTTGTAATTAGAGGGGAAGGGTTAGGAAAATACTTTACATAAAGGTCTACTTATTTATACTTCAAAAAAATTAAGGTCAGAACATTTTGAAGTTTTTTTTAGTTCAGTGCTTTCTTTTTGAGGTGCTGAACCTATGTGTTTTCAGTTTTGTTCTAGGTGCAGTCTCCCCTGCTGTGGTGGTTCCCTCCATGCTGATTTTACAAGCTGGGGGATATGGGGTGGAGAAGGGTGTCCCAACTTTGCTGATGGCAGCTGGCAGCATCGATGACATTCTGGCTATCACAGGCTTCAACACTTGCCTTGGGATGGCTTTCTCCTCCGGTATGCTGGTTAATCTGCACATGATGAAATGCAGAACAGTGATATTTTGGAGAATGTGTGCTCTGTTATGGCTGACTGGTTTGTAACTTAATGGCATCTCGTTATAAAATTCATGTATAACCTTAAATAGTGAGATGGAAATTACCCATATTTAGAAGTTATTGTAACATTGTCAGCTCAGAGTTGTGGGTCATAATAACTTTGAGAGAACATTTTTTTCCTTGACTGCTCCTTTAGCTGCCAAGTCTGGCCCCTGCATATGCCCAGCATAATGCTGCTTTGAAAATTCAGTGGGTTTGGCAATGTTCTTACAGTGGCTCTTTCTCTGACTTCTCTTGCACACCTTCTTTGCAGGAGCTTTCAGAGAAAGGAAGTTGCACCATCCAGTTCCTTCAGGCTGATAGGTTCCCTCCTGAACTCCTCTGCCCCAAGTAATTCTAAGCAGACACTCTCCTGGAATCACTCTCATAGGTCTGGAGCATGGTTTGAGTGAAGATCTGTGTATGACTTAGTGAACATGTTTTTATTTTGCAAAATAGGTTCTACTCTGTACAATGTGCTCCGTGGAGTGCTGGAGGTCGCTGTTGGCATAGCAGCTGGGGGAATTCTGGGAATGTTTATTCGATACTTCCCAAGCCATGACCAGGTAAAAACCTAGTTAAAAAAAAAAAATTATCATAAAGTGATTCTTCAGTAAAAGATTATTTTCTTTAGTTATTAATTTCCAAGTCTTCTGAAGCTGGTTTTAGGGGAAGCTTTTTACAGTGATAGCAGCTTCCAGATGGCAAAACCTATCAAGTGAGGATGTGTTTTAAAGGTGTTTACTGATTTACTGCACCAATAATAATGTATGATCTCATAGTTCTTCCTGATGGAAATTTGGAATCCAGCTCGCTATCCTGCTCTCATTGAAGGTAGTGGAAATGAGGGAGGGTCTGATACCCATTTCAGACAGTAAAATAGTAATTTATTAGATTGATGCAGAACATATTTTCTTCTTCAAGATGTATCCAGTAGGCCTAAGATTAAAAATTAATAAAGCAGATGTATTACAGGTTTTAAGTGATTGATCATATCATTAGTTATAATGTGTTACTTTCCATAAAAATTGCATTTATAGAAAGTGGTAGATGAATTTTCGAGGGGTAGTTAAATGAATAGAAAATTGTGGAAGAATGTAGATATGCTCTGGACTACCAGTATTCAGAGCATCTATTGCCTTCAGTGGCATCAAATTTTCTTATTAAATAATATAAGAAGTGTTATACAAGAGCTAAACAGTTAGAAATGAGGAACAATGGCTGATAACTGTCTGCTATGAGACTGAATGAAATAAAACTAGATTATTCCTGACAAATGTTTGACTTGTCCTTAAAAACATCTGGTGGCAGATTTTACTTTTCCTTGGATAAACTGTTGTAATACTTGACTACACAGGTAGAAAATCCTGCTATCGCAGAGTTGAGGCAGAGCTGCTAGAACCTAGCATCATGTTCCTTCTGATAAAAATAGCTTAGTGGCAATAAGAATTTGGATGGGCAGAGGAAAAAAAATTATGTTTTCAAAATTTGTATTCTTAGGAATTAATGTTTAAAAAAAAATCCTCAATCCAACTGAGCAGTTTAAGTCTCACTTGAAAGCTTTGATTACTTCAAAATTATTAAATTTTCTTTTTTTTTTCAAGTTCTTATTTTCAAAATTAACAGGAGTAACTTTTCTCTCTGTTTCTGAAAGAAATTCACTTTTATGTTTGTCTCTTTCCTTGGCTGCAGGCATCTTTGGCATGGAAGAGATCATATTTTGTACTTGGACTGTCCATGTTTGCTGTTTTTGGCAGCATCCACTTTGGCTTCCCTGGATCAGGAGGGCTCTGCACATTAGTCTTAGCTTTTGTTGCAGGTGTGGGATGGTCTGATGAAAAGGTGAATGTTTACTTAAGAAGCACACCATATCCAAAGTCTGGTGAATGTACAGCCCTAGAGGAGCTTGAATTTCTGTCAGGAGTGGTAGTGGTATATTTGTGAAGTGTTAGAGGGTGTACAGATTTAAAAAACAAACAAACAAGCAAACAAAACAAACAAAAAAACCCCCACCAAACAAATCAGCATATTCTACATTTGTTTTGGAAGTCTTTAGCATTTCCCATGCCAGAAAGTTACCGTCTATGTCAGTGTATACAGATTGAGAAATGCTCAGCATTTCTTAGACATCTTAAGCTGTATGAAGGAGACTTAGTTGTGAAGGCACTTGACAGTAGCAATCCAAATCTTTAATTCACAGCTCTGTGAGTGTCTGTGCACAGTCACTTTATGGTAAAATTTACAAATGGATGTCCAAGATCCTGTTGTGGACATGGCCTGAATATCCTGAGGGTTTGTTTCCTGTGATTTGGAGAGGGTGAAATGAAAAGCAGTGATTAACTATCCTCTCTCATCTTTCCCAAACCCCAGCCAGTGTAATTTGGATAACTTAGAGAGCAGGGTGCACACAATAAATGATACTGTAAGACCATACAAAAATCATACAAAAGACTACTTTTTAGTCACTTTCTCTTAGGTACTAGCCTACTTCATCTTACTGCTGCTGCCCCAGTCTTTCTGTACCTTGCTATGTCTGACAGCTTCTTTTTCTTGATACCTACATTTAATATTTTGTGGGCATCTTTCTCTCCACAGCTATACCTTTGTGACATTCAGTAGGAGAAGGGGAAGAAAAAGGAAAGGGGATTAGATATAGTAGAGTCCATGTTATTATCCCCATCTTGACCTTGACTTTACAAATATCTCAAGGTTTGTTCTAACAATGAAAAGAAACTAAGATTGTCCAGTTTTAAAGGATGAAAAACTCTTCTTGGGACTTAACTGTTGAGGACATTACAACTGATCAAGCTCTCTACTGAAAAGCTTTTAAACCATTTCAGGAGGAAGAATAAATGCTGTCTATAAAGGCTTAGTTTAAATTCTTCTGATCTGTGAATGGAGTTTCATGACCTTAAGTATACTGATGTCAAATGCCTTAGTTCTTTTTCCCCTCAGATAGAGATAGAGGTGTCTGTGTACTCAATATAATACCAAGGTTTTCCTGCTGAGCTTCTCAAAGGCCACTGCCTCCTACTGTCCATGGTGGAAGGCACTTGACAAACACTTATCTACGGAGAACAATGAACATTGAACCTATTCCTGGAACAGTCAAATGGGCAGTAAATAGGCTGAAATCTGTGAAGAGGGGATTTCTGGGGGCTTTTTGTTTGTTTGTTCTGGTTTGGTTTGTGGTTGTTGTTTTTTTTTTTTTAATTTATTTTGTCAGAACTGAAAAGGGTGAAATAACAAGGAGAAACAAGGCAAAAAATGTTTATGTTTTTATATATATGTATATATATATATATATATATATATACCTCATTTTCTTTAAGGTTACAGAAGTTTTTGTATTATTGTAACCTACCATTCCATTGACAGAAGAGCAAGGGGTCTTGCAGGATCAGTCCCAAAGAGAATACCAAGGATGGGACATGCCTAGGCCCTGGATTGATTATTGACAGAGCACTGCACTTACATTTTCCACATACTCCAGCCTGAAGGCTCATTTGCAATTGTAGAACTCACTTAATTAAAAGACAAGTGCTATTTGATATACTGTGTGTACATTTTTATGTGAGTGGAAGATTCCTGTTTAACCTGGCAGCAGTTGTTTTAGGAAAATTGTGTAAAGTTCAAACATGAGGAGAAAAGATGGTTTTGCCTTTATACACTATATTGCAGTGGAAAGTTCAGCACTTTTGCCTGGTATGTGATTTCAGACTTGCTCAGACTGACTTTGCTCCTGCTGACATGGAGAGAGGTTTCTTACTGAGTGCAGCACGAACAGAGTTAGGTCATGACTGAAACTTGGGTGAGCCTGACTCTGCTCAGCTAAAAATGGAAGAACATGTTTAGACATGTAGTTCCCAAAGGCTCAGAAACTTCATGGCAAAGCTGTTGAAATTACATCTTTCTAAATACTGAAAAACAACAATGCTTCATTTTCCTCCTCTTGTCTGCAAACTGCTCTGTTACTGTTCAAACAGCTTTTTAGTTCTCCTCTCAAGACATCAAACATTTACTTGCTAGGACAGCTAGACACAGTCTGACCTTCAAAAGTTGTACAACTGATTTTGAATGTTTTAGTATTAGGTCAAAGAAAGAGAAGCAATTCTGGACAATCTTTATGAGACATTTTCACTTTGTCCTATGATTTCTTCACTGTTGTGTCTCCTTAGCCATCTTCTTGTGAATTTACAGGTTTTTTTTTTTTATTGCAGAGGGAAATAGAAAAAATTGTGGCAGTTGCATGGAATATCTTTCAACCTTTTCTTTTTGGTTTAATTGGAGCAGAAGTATCTGTTACATCTCTTAGGCCTGAAACTGTTGGTAAGATCATTCACAAATTATCCAGCTCTCATTACTGGCTTTGAAAGAATCTCTATAAAGAAATCTAAAACAAAGCAGACTATGGCTGACCCCCCCCCCCCAAAAAATCAAAAAGCCAGAAGCACCAATGCAGAAAAGTACTGAGAAATGTTTGTCTGTTGCAGGGCTCTGTGTTGCTATATTAGGCATTGCCCTAGTTGTGCGAATCATAGCAACGTTCCTGATGGTGTCTTTTGCTGGGTTTAATTTCAAGGAGAAGCTGTTTGTCTCACTGGCATGGATTCCCAAAGCCACTGTCCAGGTAAACAATCCAACATCACTTTCATTCCAGGGTAAATCTATTTTCTATAGCAAAGCTCCCTGTAACTAGAATAGCAGTAAGCAGGAAAAGGTTCAAGCTCAGTGACAGCTGAGTATAGGATATTGACTGCTCCCACTCTAAAACACTCTTTAATTGCTTGGAAAGTGCGTAGAGAACTTTGTGTGAAGGTGATTTTCTTGCATCCTGGGTTTACTCTTAATAATGACAGTGAATTGTATATATATACCACAGGAAATTTAACAATTTATCAGCCATTGCTGATTGTTGGGCCATCACATACAGATTCTGAGACGTCTCAAAGGTAAAAATGTTTCACTGCTGCATATGAAGTGTCTGCAAGGACAGTCACATCAGGACTCAGAATGGGTTTCAGTTTGTGATTATTTTGGTAAGGAGTAGCCTGAGAGCCATATTAATAGAGATGCCTCAGGCTGGATACATTCCTATTCCTTTATTTCAGTGATTGGCAAGTCATTTAGACTTTGCCTCAATAGCATGATTACTTGCAAACAAAAGTTAATAATCAAAACAGGCAAGCCTTATTACACGATCAGTGAATTAAATTTTCAGAAGCTGCCACTGGTTGACTATTGTCAGGATACATTCTCCAATTGTGGCATTTTAACAGCTGCAATAGAAAATATACTGGCCTATTTCATTAATCACATATTCTCCAGAAATGTAGATAAAATGGCAACTAAGTAATGTTCTTCACAGGAGGAAACCACACAGATAAACTCATTATCTTAGGAAATTCCAAGCGAAGTCAAAGCATAGTGAAAGTTGTTCTCATATGTATAATATGTTTACTTTGCTGTGTACAGCCTAGAAACAAATGGGTTGAATGTACTAAAAATGTCAAATTTATGTGAAATGTTTACTAATGATAAGTTTCCTTTTTTCCTCATTCAGTGCTAAAGATTACTTACTCCATCTCAGCAATGTTTTCTTCCCTGCAGGCTGCAATAGGTTCTCTTGCCCTGGATACAGCAAGACGACATCAAGATGAGCAACTGGAAAAGTATGGAATGGACGTTCTTACAGTAGCTTTCTTGGCTATCTTGATCACTGCTCCAGTTGGAGCCCTGGTTATCGGCTTGGCAGGGCCCAGACTTTTGCAGAAGGCTCAGACAAATAGCAAGGAGGATGAGGAAGGTGCAGAGGTTGGAGAAGAGGCAGAGGCCTGAACCTTCATAAGACAGACAACTACAGTAGTCTGGTCCTTCAACCCTGACACTTTTGTTGAGTAAAAATGGCATGTCTCTAATCTTGCTGGAGGAACTTAAAACTATCAGTTACCCCTGCTATTTTTAAAGCAGCTCTGGTGGAGTTCTATAAAATATTTTTTTGTGATGATGGTGCCTTGAGATGAAATAGCTGAACATACAGTGAATAAGATGACCTGGCAGTGAGTCACTGAGAAGTTAGCAGTCAAGAGTTACTTGAAATGTGTGGGTGGTGAGGCCAGAGAAAGGATCAGAATTGTTGAGGCATGGAGTGGAGTCATGAGGTAGAATATAAACAGAAAAAAATGGAGACTAGTGTGAATAACTCCTTGATGGTTGAAACTGGGCTGTGAGATGACAAGTTCCACAACTCAAAGAAAGCAACTTCCAAGAAAGAGATTGCTGAGACATAGTGAATAAGTCCTGCTATGGGTTGGTGATTCCCTCTCCTTCCTCATTTGTGTTCTAAAACTTGCCTTTTCCTGTTGCTGTTCTTCCTCACAGCTGAGGCACTCCTTTGTGCCTTCAAGGACTATCAGCTCTGGTCATAGCAAGGAACAGCAAGTGGTACTTACATGCTCAAAGAGAGAGTTGGGGCCATCATAGACTGTGGTAATAAAGATGTTGGTGCTGGCAGAAAAAAGGACAGAGCCTGAAAATGAGATGAAGGTTGTGGGATGGCTATAAGGACTGGGGGAGGGTTGTATGGGATTGGGATGGCTGCTTCTTCACCTCAGCCTTCACACAACATGATGTCAAGGGAAAAATGTAACCCCTGCTGATCAAAACCCTGCTCTTGCCTTTTAGGTTTGGTACCACTTGACAGATATCAGCAAATCTATCTGCCTCTGCTACATTTCATACAAGTAACTAGCTCAGAGTAAGTTGTTGGTAACTCCATTCTGAGGCATGGGGTCAGTATGGCATCCCTCAGTAACTGGAAGTTACTTTGTTATTTTTTGGAAAGGCTATTAGATTGTGCCTGTAACTGAGGCAGACAACACCCTCCTGAGATTTCCACACTACAGTTCACTGAACTCATTTTACAGGATACTGTGTAGAATATATTTGATAATGTCTAGATTTTGGCATTAGTAAGAACTAATGATTTCTATTTTAGCTTTTAAATTTTTAATATGCAAAGCAAAAAATGTACAAAAATACTTTTAACTGCTTAAATACTTCTGAGGTTGACACTGTACTATTTGCAGAGTCATATGCCATACAGATGAGCTGTATACAGCTCAATATGCATGCCTTTGTATAAGCCTTACTCTCTAAGCAAAAAGAAAGCTTCCTGAGATATACTTAAATTTTACAGCCTGCAGTTCCAGCACAATGATAAAAATACCAGGAAATTCTTTGGTAAATTTTCCCTTAACAGTTGTCAAGTACATTATATTTTTGTAACTATGCACACGGCTGTTCTCTCTGCATCCTTGGGAATGTACCATCTTTAGTTCAGTTTGTCTCCTAACCTGAAAGGGAGAAGCTTTCACCTGATGGGTTTGAAGCTGGAGCAGTGGTTAAGGGTGGTGTGCTTGGTTGTTATTGTGACATACCTGGACTTCTGTGCCTGTTCTGTCTACTTCACATGCAATCCTGGTGTCCCCCTGGCCCAGTATCTTTACTGACAATCTGGATGAGGGAATTGTCTACCCTCAGTAAATCCACAGGTGACACCAAGCTGGGTGGCAGTGTTGATCTGCTGGAGGGCACAAGTCTCGGCTGGGGATTTGGACAGGCTGGGTCAATGGGCTGAGACAATGGAATGAGGTTGAACAAGGCCATGTGCTGAGTCCTGCCCTTGGGTCACAGCAACCCCAGGCAGTGCCACAGGCAGGGGACAGAGTGGCTGGGAAGCTGCGCAATGGGAAGGGACGTGGGGTGCTGGTGACAGCAGCTGAACATGAGCCAGCAGTGCCCAGAGGGGCAAGGGAGTCCTGGCCTGGATCAGCAATGGTGTGGCCAGCAGGAGCAGGGCAGGGATTGTCCCCTGTACTCGGCACTGGTGAGGCCACACCTCGAGAGCTGTGTCCAGTTCTGGGCCACTCACTACAAGAAAGGCATTGCAGTGCTGGAGCGTGTCCAGAGAAGGGCAGCAGAGCTGGGGAATGGTCTGGAACACAAGTCCTGTGAGGAGCGGCTGAGGGAGCTGGGGGTGTTTAGCCTGGAGAAGAGGCAGCTGAGGGGTCACCTGGCTGCTCTACAAATCCTGACAGGAGCAGGTAGCCAGGTGGGGGTCAGCCTCTTCTCCCACACATCCAGTGACAGGATGAGGATAGTCTTAAACTTTACCAGGCAAGGTTTAAGTTGGACATTAGGAAGAATTCCTTTACAGAAAGGGCTGTTAAACAGTGGAATGGACTGCCCAGGAAGGTGGTGGAGTCATCTTCCCTGGAGGTGTTTAAGCAAAGACTGGACATGGCACTGAGAGCCATGGTCTGGTTGACATGGTGGTCATAGGTTGGATTCAATAATATTAGAAGTCTTTTCCAACCTCATTGATTCTATGATTTTGTGAAATACGTGTAGTTTTAATAGAAGGCTAAGTATTTGGAAATTGTAATGTTGGTTAAACTAACTGACAAGATGAAGAAATACAGTGTTCAGTTCATATGTGACTGTCTATAAAATAGTTCTACCCAAGTAAAACTTACAGGAGTTCACTTTTTTGTAAAGTTTTTATAATCCATAGGGATCACTATGCCAAATTTGGAATGTGTTCAGTAACAGAAGTGTTATGCGGTAAGGATTACAGCCCTTTAGATTTGGACAAAACCTTAAGTATGAAAGCAAACCTCTGATGAAGAGCTCTGTTTGTGATAGCCTCTAATACTTCCTCATCAGCTAAACAGCATCTCATAAATGGGATTTACTCATTCCCTTAACCTCAGTGCACTCTCAGTTATACATTACATCATGTCCACAATTCTGAGTGCTTGAATAAGCTATACCAATGAAACTTGTCATCTTTTTTGCTCATCTGAGATTTAATAAATTTTTATTTCCTTGCCATTTTACGTGGGTATTTCTCATGAGACCCCTTTCCCCCAGCTTTTATTAAATCTTCAAAAAGTATAAGGTCAGAGCTATTACAAAGACCTGCAGATCTAAAAGTAAATGCTTTAATGCTTTATAATGTTCCCTCTCCTTTTCTTCCAGAAAGGAAGAAAACGCATCTTTTCATTAAATGATCAGAACTAAAAACTTTAGAGACTGAGCTTTTTTAGTATCATAACAATTTCAGCTGCTTTTAAATAGCAACTAACTTTGAGAGATTAGATTTCAGTTTTCATCAGAGTACAGGTGAAGCATGACAGTAAAGACCACCTCCCTTTTAACAAAATGCTGTGAAAATCATTACTGAATAAATTCAAGCATAAATTCAAGCCAATAAAATCATTATGCCATAGCAGTCTCTTATTTGCAGGAAATATTAGAGCACAATGCGCAGTAACAGATAACCAGAGTCCCGCTGCCACGCAGACATAATCACAGGCATAAGTGTGGGGGAACTCTGAGTGTGTTGTTCCAGAAGGTTCACAAGAACCTCTGCAGCAGAAAGGTCTAACAGCAGAAAGTGTTCCCAGCAGCCAGCATCTGGAAGTTACAGCAGGCAGCATATGGGAAAAGACAGAAATTGTCTGTCTGCAAGCAGGGAGTCACACAGGCCAGGGGATGTGATGATGATGTGATTATAATCACTGCTTACTCTCTTTTTTCAGCCAAACGGAGCTTTTTGTGGAATTTAAATTGAAGTCTAAAATTAATTGTGAAACAGTCATGGTGTAATACAGCCACAAAATGAATGATCGTTTCTGTGCCTTGCTTTAAATAAAGAGTGCAAGAGATCAAAATTTTGGCCAATTGCACTTCAGTTACATTTACTTTGTCTAGTAGTTGCCCAAAGTCAGACACCTTTCTCTAAACCTGTTTTACAAGTTTTAGTCTCTTATAACCATGTTCAAAATAATTATGAAAAGGAAAACATTGCTGTTCTTGTAGAGTGTCACAATACACTGATTTCAATTTCCCCAGATTTTCCATCAAGACTGAAGACCTGGTCCCACAACCTCAGTTCTGGTCTTTATTAGCATTTAGGGCAAATTTATTCCTGTGTGTGGAGCTTCCCAATTAGATTAGAAAAGTCAGGTGATTGGTTCAGCTTCTCAGTTGCTGGTAAGATACAGAGCTGTACAGGCACTTCAGCTTTTAGCTATCTGTCTCTGTAGACTTTAGATAGAACAGACTGGTAAATTCTTTGAGATTTTCTACAGAAGTTCTGCAGACATGAGACAGTATTACCTTGACAGATTTTGAAATGCAAGAAAATGATGATTTGCTTGTGATTCTCATTGTATTATTACCTTGTGGAAATTACTACAATGTCCTTTCTACAAAATAACTGTGACTTGCTCTTGCAAAATCACAAATTTGTTCCATTCCCTTACAGTTACAAGCACAAACAAAATAACTGTCCCTGTTTATCATATAGCCCTATTTGTAGATTGCTGTTAAACTATCTCATCTAAGAGCAAGTAAGGAGAAAAAATACTTAATCAAGCTGTGTTGAAGATGGAGTGAAGTTAAACCTTACCCTGTTCTTCAAGGAGCTTTTTGGGAGAAACAAAACCATGTTTTATTACTCACATGTATTACTCACTTTAACAAGGTTTGTTTTAATTTAACAGGTTTGGTTGTGATTTCAGAGAAAACCAAACTGTTTGAATACAAAAGCATCCTGATAAAAGCTGGAAGCACATACAGGCCTGTGTCTAGTAAGTCTGCTACAGTAGACTACCATTTTTAAAACCTGAAAAAAAAAAGTCAAATACGGGGCTTTACATTTCACAGTAATTTCTTCACCAAACACAAGAATTCGGGCTTGATGTTCTATATACATCTGTAAGTGAAAACTTGAATATAAGACACCTTTATATATTCTTCTGTATTATAAATGCTTATATCCTAATACATTTATGGTTTGCTCATCCATTAAGGGAAGACCACCATGAAGATTTAAACAAAATACATTACACCATGGTTCTGTTACACACTTGGTAAAGGCAGGCATTTCACACACAGTCACATCCTAATCTGCCATCTTTTTCTGCAAGGTAAGAGGTTTTGGAACCTAAAACTGTCA